ACAGCTGAACAACACTTTCTGTCACGGCCCAGAAGCTGGAAAGGAACAGGGAGGTGGAGCAGCCAATGCAGGTGGTGAGTGGCATGTGCTATATATGTATATTACATAAATATTGGGTCAGATTCTTCTGGAAGCCACCCTGACTCCCATCTTTGTGAACCAGAAAACCTCCTGGCTCATTCCGGTCGCTGGCCAGCGATGGCTCCTGAAAAATATGAAAATTAAATACTTGCAAATCCCTCAGTAAAGGGAAAAAATGGCTTTAAAATAAAGAAGCACTTCTGATTTTCAAGCACTGCTGCCCATTTCCATGCAAGCTTCTAAGGAAAGGTAACTGGGGACAAACCTTTTAGCAGGCTGGACAAAGGGGAAAGGTTTTTAAACTAAAAAAGGGTCAATTTAGATGAGGTATAAGGGAGAAGTTGTTTTACAGTGAGGGCAGTGAAACAATGAGAGGTTTCCCAGAGAGGTGGTGGCTGCTCCATCCTGGAAACACCCAAGGTCAGGTTGGATGGTGAGTGACACGGTCTGGTTCAGGGGGTTGGACTGTTTGGCCTTTAAACCCAAACCATTCTGTGGTAGCAAACTAGGGGCATAAATTAAACACCTACAAAGATGCACTGTTTTCCCCATCCTCATCAATTTTTTCTTAAATGGAAGAAAATTACAACACATCAGAACAGCTAGATTAGGTTCATGAGCTTAATTAACATCTTTGTAATACTACTTCCACTTTTCCCTCTCTATTCTCAGATTAAGCGTGACATATATGACATGACCTATAGAAAATGCAGATATATATACATATATAAAAATATGTATGTAAATGTACTCTCCATATTTACACAAACAACCCATGCTTTAATTGCTTAATCAAAAATTACCTGTTACTGCCTTTTCACTTTAGAGAAGCTGTGAACCTGTTATAGCAGCATATATTCCTTTATTGTAGTAAAAGAATTATTCTATGTCAAAAATAGTAGAGGCACATCCTTCAAGAGAAAAAATGAGGGAAAACCACCAATTTCTCTTCCCTCATCCCCCAGTGCTGTAGCTGCATCACAGAACCCACCAGACTTCTCAGGCACAGCTTGCCCTCAGTGGAGCCAGGTGAAGATGTCAGAAATCACCTCCTTATTTTCCATGTGCCTTGGCATAATTTCCATAATTTAGAAGGATCTAAATTTATTAGATCCTTCTAATTTTTTTTTTTTTCCTGAGAAGGATCTAAATGTTTCCATAATTTAGAAGGATCTGCTCGACCTTCCCACCGGCGCCTCTCACCCTTAATTCCCCTGTTAAAAATTGGGGTTATATTTTCTCTCTTACAGCCTGTGAGACCTCCACCAGACTGCCATGACTTTTCAAATATGACAAAGAGTGGCTCAGCCCCTTCCCCTGACAGCTCCCTCATGACCCACGGGTGCATCCTGCCAGGAGCCATGGCCTTGGGAACCTTCAGGTACCTTGGATGGTCCCCACCCCCATCTCCTCCTACTCTGGGCAGTTCATCAGCCTCTCCTTCCACCTTGGGCAGTGTAACCAGAGCACTTCTTGGTGAAACTGAGGCAAGTGGTTGAGTACCTCAGCATTCTCCATGTCCTGGGTCTCTCATTTTCTTCCACATTTTCCCTACTTCTCCTTTTGCCACCTACAGAAACTTTCCTTGTTGCCCTTGATGTCCCTAGAAAGATTTAACCCTATCAGGGCTTTACCTTTTCTAACCTGATCCTGGAAAACTTCTCTGTGTGCCTCCCAGGCTAGCTGTGATTGCTTCCATGCTCTAGAGATTTCCTTTTTGTGTTTTTATTTGTCCATGAGCTCCTTGTTCACCCACACAGGACTCCTGGCATCTTTGTCTGATTTTCTTTTCTGTTGGGATGTTTCTCTTCTGGGTTTGGAGGAGGTGATCACTGAATATTAATCAGCTTACTGGGCCTTGATTCCTTCCTGGACTTAATCCCATCATTCTTGACCAAGCTGATCCCTGAAGAGGCCAAATTCTCCTCTCCTGAAATTCAGGCCATTAAACTTGTGTGCCTTCCTCACCACCTAAAAGATCTGTGATTCCACCATTTCACAGCCACCACAGCCCCTCTTGGAAGGTTTAGTTTTTGGGAAGTCAGGAAGAAAAAGTGGGTGGGCTTAGTTATTAGTTATTAGGAAGGAATAGTTATTAGTTATTAGGAACAATTCCACCCTGTGAGGCTGGAATGCTGCAGCTGCCCCTGGATCCCTGGCAGTGCCCAAGGCCAGGTTGGACATTGGGTCTTGGAGTAGCTGGGACAGTGGGAGGTGTCCCTGCCATGACAGGGGTTGGATTAGATAATATTTAAATTTTATCTCAACCCAACCCAACCCATGATTCTCATTTGGGGTCCTTGAAGTCCTCCTTGAGGACCAGGGTTTGTGAACACAGGGCTTCTCTTCTCTGTCCCCAGAGGGGTTGATCGGCCCTTCCTGCACTCTGTGGCACATCCCTGCCACCCTGTCACCTGTCCCTGCCCTGTGGCACATCCCTGCCACCCTGTCACCTGTCCCTGCCCTCCCTGTGAGCTCTTTGTGCTCTCCTCACCCATCCCAGCAGAGTTCCATGGACTCCAGCTGGTCTTTTGCTAAGAGGTGACATCCCCTCCTTGTTTCCACTTGCCTGTCCTTCCTAAAGAGCCTGTGCCTGAGGCTCCCCTCCCCCAGAAACTTCAGAAGGGTAAATCCATCACAGCCAGACTTGTGCAAGCTCACTGTGTGTCAGACCACAGCACTTACATCACATTTTCTGACACTTTCATGAGAAAGTAACATGTATCACTTTTTAGGGGCCCTTTGGTCTCGCCTCAACGCATCACATGTATATTTTATGCAGCCTGTGCACTTGATTGCATTTATGGTGGCCAAGGCAGCACAATACACTCCTCCACAGCTCCTACCGACCTCCCACAGCATCCCAGAAAACAAATACATTCACTTAGTCTGCTTTTGATTTTCCAGCCTGATGCAAATGATTAGTGACCTTTCCTAGTGTGTTTTGAGTGTTGGTTTCCTCCATCTAGTGAGAAGCGTTCCTGCTGACCTCGGATAACCACAGCCCATCAGCTGGCAAACTGAAGAAATAAATATTATTGTGACAAAGAGGCTGTGATCCTGCATTCCTCCCCACCTGTGCCCCACCTGCATTCCACCAGGTGGTTCCTGCTTCCTGAAAATTCCCACACACCTGGAGCCTAATTCCAGTTTGATACAAACTGCATAAAAACACAATTATTCTTACTCACATACACTGGTAAAATAGATTTTGCTGCACTCCTAGCAAGCTAAATTGTGAGAACAAGTCATGTTTCTATGTTTCCCCATTCAGAGGAATTGAAAAATTTATATTTACAATGATATATGTATCACTGAATGTTAATTTGCAGTAAATGAAATCATAAATCTGCACAACAAAGTTTTGTGCAAGTCTGCCTTTTATATTTTAGATTGTTAATCTAAAGCAGCATTCTGCATTCTGAAGTGTATCTCTCTATTAAGAAAATTATGCAAATTAAATTTTAAACATTAAAATACTTTGGGATCAGTAAAATTACTTAGTCCTATTTAGAAATTATCTTTTGATTTCTAAGACTAAGTGATCGCAGGTCACTTAGTAATCACTAAGTCAACAGATTGACCTCCTGCTATTAAATCTAAGGTATAAAACAAGTGTTGTGTTTACCACAGAAGTATCAGAGACTACTTGTTTCATGATGATATTGAGTGTTGATAGTCACATTAATCCCTTGAGCTCATTAGCAACAGATATGGGAGGATGGACATTGATAAATAATTGCTATTCTAAAGAGATTTACTCATTATTTTATCTTGTCTTCACTAAAATTTCTGGGTATATATATTATAAAATATGTGAGAAAAAAAAAAAATTCAGTTCTTCAGGAAAAGTCCCCGTATTTCGTGAAACAGTTGCAATTTTTAACCAAAAGTCAGAAAGCTTCAAGATGCAGAAATTTATGACTGAAGTGTTAATATTCAGCCATCATTCTCCAAAAATACTCCTCATGTGCAGCACTGTATTCTCATTTTTTGTGACTGGTAGAGATATGTAGTAAGGGGAAATTGAGATTTTGTGACTTTTCTTCTGAAAGACAACATGCTGTGGTGAGTGTTGAGTGTTGGGACTCCATGTTGGGCAGACATTGTCACCAGTGAGTGCTTGTGGATGGTTTTTTTCTCTAAAAGATGATTTTTGGAGAAAGGGCACAAGCTCAAACTCATAAAACAAAAGGATGTGTATTTTTACAAAAGGGCTCATTCAAGGTGTAAACCACTGAAGCTTCATCTCTCTTCAGTAAACATAATATTTTAATGTAATTTTATTGTTTAGACGGTTTGGTAGCGAATGGCTTTTCCATGTGCTACTTTAATTCCTAAGCTTCTTCAGAAATTGAAATTACAGAGTTAACTGTTTTGGGGAGCATAAAATGGAGCAGAATATAGAGTTAACTATTTTGGGGAGCATTTATTATGCAACTAAAAGAGAAAAGGGGCAAGGGTGTGAACAAATACCAGGTCTGCTGTGGCATCTCATAGTAGGTCTGGGCTGCAGCCACTCCTTATCTTCTCAGAAATTAATTTGCCTATGCAGGAGTGGAGGAGAGAGGATAAGGATTGATAAATATCCCAGGAAATTTGACTTACAGGAAATGAAATTGTCATTTTACATTTCTGATGCTTGTTGAGAGAGCAGCAGGATAGGGAAAAAAATGGTATTTTTAGACTTGTTCAAACCTACAGGTTTTTGTTTTTTTTTTAATGTGGAAGAACAAAGGGAACACATTGAGAGGAGCACAGCACCAACCGTTGATTTTTCCACAAACAAACTTACCTACCACAAAGACCCCATGGATGAATCCAGGAAAATGCCACGTGATATCTCCGCTCCACATTTGCCGACACTAAGATAAGCTGTGTCCAAGGTGTTGCAACACAACAGCTTCAAGAAAACCACCTCATTTTTCAAAAGTTTTATTGTTAAGTTTGAAGACTAGACAAGGTCGTACTGGTTTTACATCGCTCTACATGATTTAGGTATATACAAAACCATTTGAATATCACACAGCTTGAAAGGTTGCAAAGGTTGTTTGTGTCCGAGATACTTCTGTACTTACTGACACATCAGAAGCCAGCACTGAAATATTATAGTTCACATTGGTTGTATAGCAAAGATACACTCATTTAGTATCCTTAGTCTTCAAAACTGACACTTAATTTGTATGGAGCCATTCCAAAAGAGAAAGTCAACCTTGGATCCAGAGCCAGTGGGGGAACGGGTCCCGAACGCCGATAAAAAGGAGCCTCATGCCAGTGCTTTATTTCCCAGGCTATAAATGTAGCACATTACCTAGCAACATAAAGGTGAAGCTTGCCTACAAATACTTGACTGTTTTAGGGTGAAATTTAATTAGGAGAACACTTTTGGCCTTGTTCAATGTCATTGTTAACATTTAATACAGAAGGATAATTTCCGAGCTTTTCTCTGTCCTCTCTTAAGGGACATCTCCTATCCTGCACTTCTGGTTTTTTGGGGCTGGTTGCTTTCACTGGGAGAAAACAGTTGTGTTAATTTATAACTTGCCCCTTATTGCAATGAAAGACAACAGAATAAAATCAAATTGAAAGAGTTTAATTCTATGCCCTAATCTGATTCCCACCTGCTTTGTTGAATCTGAAGGATTCCACTTAAACCAGGAGCTATTTCAGACTGATACTGCTGGCATTGGGAGCAGAATTTGGTGCTAGAAATGCCATTCCAAGAAGGATTTTTGGTACATGGGGAATAATGTAATTGGAAAAGCTCCTAGCATGCAGGTTGAAATTGTAATGGCGTCAGATATATGATTTTTAAATGAATTGCTGTAGAGTGTTATCACAAGGTGTAGAGCTATTCTCGTGAAGACTGCTGACAGCTGACCCAGGACATGAGGGTGGAAATACTCAGCACAAAATTAGTGCCAAATTAAAACTATTGTGTTACATGAAAACTCTATATGCAGATGAAGGGGTTGCAATTAATTTACTAAACCAAGAAATATTAATTCAAAAGCAAAACTGAAGTCACAAAAGAGGAATTACATGAAAAAAAACCCACCAACATTAAGAACAGAAACCAAATATTTCCAAAGAACATTTACACAAGTTTTTAAACTAGCAAGTCTAATTTTCTGTTATGGCCTTCTGTTTTTTGAATACAGTCAGTTAGTGAAATATCTACACGATATTCTTCATATCTGTAATTAAATTCAGGGTCAACTGGTCTCCCGTAATAGGAAAATGTATTTAAACCTCTTAAAGTATTGTGTGTTGATACTCTAAAGACGAGTTTTCATATTTTTCTTTTTTTTTTTTTTTTTCTTTTTAATCTAAAGTTTAAATTGCAAAACATAGGCAGCAGATAATGTAGGGATAGACTTGTCCTCCATTATTCAGATTTTTTTTTTCTCGTTAGAAGTACCACCAAAGTGATTGACTTTCTCTTTAAAATTGCTCCTTTTGCTTGAAGACCACTCCATATATACATCATTAAGGAATGCTGTTAACACAGTTACAGACAAGACAGTAACAGTCTAGTGGCTTTTGTTATGCAGCACAAAGTAAAAAATAAAGAACAAACTTAGCAGTGTTGCACAGGACCTCAACATTTCTTACACATACTTTTACCTTTACAGGACTCTTCTTTAGAAGTCTTTAAATGTCTAAGCCTTATAAAATAAATACTTGTATAAATACAGTTTAAGGATTAAGTCATTTTGTAGAGGCAGGGTGTTCTGTTTGCTAAAATGTGACAGTTTAAGTGACACTATCAGAAAACCGCCACCATTATATCCCCAATTCTTGTATGTAAAATTCCTGGCTGCTATTCTAGAGTCTTTCACAGTTCAATGGATAATATATATTTAGTCTGTGGTGGAGAATGTGTGATTAAATGCAGGTTTTTTCCGAAATCCAAACCATTTTGTTTCCAAGGTAAACTTTGCCCTTTGCAGATTGTGGGCCAGCTAGCTGCTGGCCTGGGAAGCAGTGCCCAAGTTCAGAGTTTTGGTGAGAATGGAACAGTGACAGAAAATATAAGTTCAGTGACATTTGCTAAAACATGCAGCTGCATCTCTCTCTCTCTCTCTCTCTCTCTCTCTCTCTCATTCTCTCTTTCTCTCCACATCAGCATGTTATGAAATTAAAAGGTTGGCAGTAATCCCAAGTGCTGTTGTTTCAGGTAACAGATAAAACGTCCCCTCACTCCCCGTCCCGGGATCTTTTTTAGTCTGAGGTGCTGCTCTAACGTAGTCACAGAGCACTTTACTCCAAGGGAACTTGGATTGCTCTTCAAACATTGGTGCTGTCATCTCAATCATCAGGGGAAACTGAGGCATGGGGGAGAATGCCCCCCTACTTCTCCACTTTTCCTCCTAAAATCTACTTTTTAAGCTGGGGTTGCTATCATGCTGTGTGTGAAAGCATTCCTGTAGATGGGGTATGATAGGAAATACAGCCTCCTCGTGGCTCACTGGTGTGTGTCTGAAAAGAATTTTTAGGAGCAGAGGGTGACAAGTGCCAGGTTTTTGTGCGCTCCTACGTCACCTCTTACATTTTGGGGAGGAAAGCTGTGACTTTAGGAAGAGCCCAAAGAGAGAGGGTTTCCTGGCAGTAAGGGAGTCATTCCTCCAGTGTGTCTTTTAGCACCTGGTTCCTTCACCCCACATTTTCCTCCTCGCTGGAATTTGGAACATTTGTGAAAGCAGTGATGGGGTGGGCAGGTCACAGTCTGGGGCTGTGTGCTCACCCCTGGAGAAATCATCCTGGAATGGGATTTCTGATGGAATGTGTGGGCACCCAAGATGAGACACCACAAGTACCCTGGTGCCTCACCTTGGTCTCCGAGAAAAAGCACAGAAACTTTGAGAATTCATAAACTTTGGCAAATTCATTAGCTTCATAATACACAGATTTGGTTACATATGCAAACAGGTGACATCTTCCAAGGAAAACAACACCAGCACAGTGTGATACTAAACAGAAAAAAGATGGAGGCCGTGTCTACAGCATGCAAAATTGAGAAGGAAAATGGGGCAGTTAGGAAAACCCTCCAGGTGCATGGACTCTTCTGTCTGGATGAAAGTGGTGAAAGGTAGCTCATAACATCACAGGTACCATGTTTTAACAGTACCATGGAAAATTTCCCAAAATATATGTCGTAAGAACTGACAGTGTTTGATAGGCACAATTACTATAATGCAGTCATCCCCAAGTAAACTTATTGCTAAAAGCTGCAGTATCACTTTTTGCAAGTAAGACGGTGGTATAATTTATGGAAAACTCGTCAGCCCAATGTTCCTGAAGCTGCAAATGAGCTTCGTCACACTATTTCTCTTCCCTTGTAAAAAGGATGCTGCTGTTTTTTTGTTTTTTCCTTTCTCTTTTTCCCTCAACGCGTTTCAACTGGTGGTGAACAACCCAAAGGAGAACTAGGAGGATAATTCCACAGCAGAAGGGACAACACCAACAGATTTCAAGGGCAAAGAAACCGGATTGGATCGTTTTAAAAGGGCAGGCTTAGACCTCCTGGCGAAAGACAGCTAGCGGCCTACCATAAAAATGAGCGAGCACTGGTTCATGGAAAAACCCCACTCAGCATCCTACAAGCTTCTTCTACAGCAGGAGCAGGGCGGGCTCAGTCCTCGGCTGCGCAGCCCAGCAGCTCGGACCGCAGGGTGATGCGGCCGTACCAGGACCAGGGCAGGATGCGCACGTGCCGGGCGTAGATCGGCGGCTCGATGACGTTCTTGCGGTGCGTGTCGTTGTCAAAGTTCCCCTGGAACACCTGTGGGGAAGCAACGGGGGAGGTTTGAGCGGAAATTCCACTTGGAATACCTGCCGGGAAGCAGTGGGGAGGTTTTAAGTTTGGTGAAACTCTGTCGGTCGTGGATCCGTGATGAATTTTTATCGTCGGGATGCACGACTTTTAACGCTGTTTAAACTTAAGGTTTAAAGTGGCAAAGAAAAGGTTTGGAAGGTTTTAGGAAGGAATTCTTCACTCTGAGGGTGGGCAGGCCCTGGCACAGGGTGCCCAGATTTGCTGTGGCTGCCCCTGGATCCCTGGAAGTGCCCAAGTCCAGGCTGGACACTGGGGTTGGAGCAGCTGGGACAGTGGGAGGGGTGGCACTGGGAGGGATTTAAGGTCCCTCCCAACCCAAATCTGGGATTCCATGAGCCCCTGCCTCTGCTAAACCTTGTGATTCATTCACACTCAGCCCTGCTGCAGGCAGAGCCTTCTACTCAAATCTTCACCCACAGTTCCACCAGGGCCATGCTCTGAAAGTTACACAAAAATCATTAACATTTAAAAAATTTAAATGTCTTTTTATTTGGCATTTGTACCATCTCAAATTAATCCCAGGAGATGCTGTTACTGTTTCTGAGAAAATAACATTAATAATTAAAGTTAAGAATTTTTATTGTGTCACCTACGAACATAGCTAGGATGCAACCACATAAACCCTTCTAAAATTGGTCATTATTGAGCATATTATCTCCTCATGTCAGGCAAAAGTCAGCAGATGAATTAAGAGCATCAGGCTGTGATAAAAGTAAAACATCCTAGCTCAGTGCAGTGCATGCTATGATTCTATTTCCACCTGTATTAGTTAATCCGCACAAAAGTGAGTTATAAAACTCCTATCTGTGATAAATCAGTGCCAGATTTCCCCCTGCCAGCCACTATTTAAATTCAAAGGCCGCAGCACCAATTGTTGGCAAAATGATCAGATTATCCCCTTGGGTTATTTTCAGTTTTTATGGGAAATGTTCATTCTCTTAAAATGTCAGCCAATTCACTTCTCATTTGTAAAAACTGAATCTGGTGGCTTTTTGACGTAAAATGAATGACTGTTGTTTGCATCATGCAGAGAAGAATATAGACCTCCTGGAGAAGTGCTTATATGACTGAATTAATGCAGAATTACAGGTTTCCTAGAATTTCTTGGGAAAATATCAGTTTGGAGTGCAGGGTGGCTGATCTAGCATTTTAGCCCTGACTCAGGTTCCTCTGTGACATGCCCATAAAGATTTTGGTCTCCCTGCTGCGCCTCTTTGTATTTTGGAAGCTTCTCTCCAGTGCTGTCCTTTCAGGACATCAAACAAAATCTGTCCCCTCCCCAGGTGATGCTCTTTTACAAGTGATGAATTCCCCTTCTCCTCTGCCATCAGAGAGGTGGGAGCATGAAAGGGTGTGGGAGATCTGATAGATGGATAAAGTAGCAGAGAAAATGACTACAGAAACATCAGTTTTGTGAGTTTAAGGAAAAAAAATAAAACCACCAAAAAAACTACCAAAATAATTTAACTCAGGGAAAATTGTTTGCTGCCCAAGTACACTGTTGATACATAAATCAGCAGGAGCTTGGGCTAACAAGGTTTGCACCTCAAGTCTAGTTACATTTGTAGAAAAAAAAATTACATAACTAAGTTCACAATTGAAATTACAGTGGCACCTTCCAAAACTGAAAATGCAGCTAGGAAAGCTTAAAAGTGGTGTGTTTTTTGTTTTTTTTTTTTTTTTTTTCCATTTATTTCTTGCACATGAGTGCAAAATATCTGTTGATATTTTTTGCCAGGCTAGACAAAGGAACCTTCTACAGCCCCAATGTTCATAATCTGCATATAGATTTGAAAGATAAATAAAATTATGTGATGCAAAACCAGCAACAAATACAGCTGAAGTAGGGAGGATTATGTAATTTACTTACAGCATGAAAACAAGAATTAAATTTTATTTTTAACTCATGCATGATTTCATTATCACTTGAAGTCTAACTCATCTATCTCAGAGGTTATTTTATGCAAATATGAAATACACCTTCCCTCAAAATTCAAGATCTAGTTTCAAGAAATTAACAAAATGTACTAGATCAGAAGAAGCATTGTAGGGAAATAAATTTATCAGAAAGTAGGGGAAGCATTGTCAGCATCCACAAATGTGACCTGAATGAAATACAGCATTCTAAGAGGAATTTACTTTTCTTTTCCTGTGGCCCCATGGCAAATTTCTTATGGGAAAAACTATATCCTTTCCCACTCTTCATTTACTTTTAGCCTCAATTCACTAATGGAGTCAAGGAATTTGGAAGAAGGGAGGACAGAGGATAAACCATGACTTATCAGTAGAAGAAAAAGCTATTTCTGTAGCTAAAAGTAATTTTTTTACTCTACCTGTTGTTTTATGCCCAAGCAGTCAATATTAAATGAGACACCAAAGTAATGAAAACCCTTGAAAAGCTGATGCCTCTCAACGACCACTCCTCACATTTGTTCCTGAGCAGTTTTTTTCAGGATAGCCCTGAAGACTGCCATGACTTTTTAATATTTCAGAGGCTGATGTTGGCATTATAATATAATGTTCTGTGTTAAAAAAAAAAAAAAATTAAAAAAATCCCAATGATGAAATAACCCCAGAGTGATTTGTACTCAAGAAATAAAGACCAGAATTTAAATTATGCCTTCATTTTCAACTCTGGGTGAGTGCAGCTCTACCCCAAAACAGCAAACACAGGAAAAAGTAGCAAGAAGTTGGTTTTTTGGGAGTTTTTACACAGATAAGTCTCTCCAGCCTGAGAGGACGTACTGTAGATGTCTATAAAACCATAAGTGGTGTGGGGAAAATCGATAGCAGGCAATATTGCAGTGTCCCCTCAGCAGGGCCAGGAGGGGACAGGCAATGACAGCAGGGTCATCCAGAGCCATCTAAAGGTCGCAGTTCCCCTTTCAACACATAATTAAACCATGGCACAGCTTCCACAGCCTTTAACCGCTGCTAAAGATCACATAAATTGTGAGGGGGAAAAACAAAGGGGGGCTGTTAAGGGCATGGACAGAAAAAAACCAAAAATTCAGAGCTGGGAAAGGGCACTAGAGAGGAATAACAACCTTACTTTTCCTGATGCCTTATTGGGACTACCTAAAAACTGAGGGCACACAAAATGAAGGGAATTAAAAGTGGTTATGTTTATTGAAGGGCCTGCAGGTACATTTTGGGCTGGCAAAACCCTCAGTGGCTACACCCAAAATGGACCATGGGTTTTCACACGTTTGTAAGTTTGGTCCATTTGCATATTGGGGGTTAATCTAACAATTACACCTTCAGCTAATGAAGGAATTTACCCCAGGTTTCTCCCCCAAGTCACTTTTATTTGCATTTCTGGGCCCTGAGGCAGTGAGGTGTCCTTGATTGCCAGGCCTGGAGAGGAATTGCTGTGTCTGCCCAAAATGGGACAGCAGCAGCTGACACTGAATATAGAGCTTAGGGTTAGACACTAAAGAACTGCAGGATCACAAATACATTAAAAATATAAAAGCTAAAATCCTAAGGCATCATTCCAACCCACAGGATGCTCCTTCCTTTGGACAGAGCTTCACCCTCCCCAAAACCAGCGGCTGCCACGTTACAAGGTGACTTTTCTTTTGTACAAGTGGATCAAAAAGCTCCTTTTTGCCACCCCTGCTGTAGAAGGTTTCAGATTTTACAGTGTCTGTATCTGTCTATGCCAGCCTGCACACTCAGAAGGTGTAACTTGCTGGAATATTTACTCAGCAGGTCTAGCAGTTTTACACATGCAGACCCTCCACACACGCCTCTGGAACTCAGTCTCTTGAAACTGCAGTTAAAAAAAAAAAAAGCCAGAAAAGGCTGCTGTACTTTTGAATATGATTACTTGATGGAAAAAGAGTGAAAGACAGGAAAATAGGTCTATTCTCTACTGAAATATATAGAATATAATAGATATTCTCTGCGGAAAAGTCTGAAATACAAACAAATATTTTTTATACTTGTGTCCAGCAAGCAATTTGAATGTCTTAATTTCAAATACTCAGTGAAATTTTTCAATGTAAACAGAGTGTTTTATGGTGTTAGCAGAAAATCCAGATAATGACAATGTAAGTTGATTGGAATTTTTAAAAGAAAACTGTTGAAAACAGAATAATTTAGGAGAAATAGCTGAAGACTAGCAGCTTGGGGAAAGGAATGCTGTCTGCTGTACCTTAAAAACCTTTTTTACACCTAGCAGAATATTTTAAAAATGTTATTTCATGGAGCAGTTAATCCTGCTCATATTAGATGAAGAATCTTTTATAAAGAATATCCAGTCATGGCTCCTGTTTGGAGTTTTCTTCAGTGCAGAAATCTCAATATTCAGAAAAATAAAGGTGGCACATGGATGTGTTTGTGGGCACATGCAGTTTTGGAGTGAATAAGAGGAGAAAAAGTAATTTTTTTCTCTCAGTTACTATACATAAAGTGCACACATATCATATCCATGAATATGTTTACATGGCCTTTATTATTTCTCCATGTTCAGAGCAGATAGAGGGAGATAAAACTTGAAAACTTGTGAAACATATTTTAACATTTTCATACTGTCTTTCCCATGTGATCTACATGTTGATGCTACAAAAAAAAGGGCATTTAGTCCACTGCTTATAGGAGGTTCAAAGCCAAAAAGAGAAATATTTTGAAGACCAACCTGCCTCCAGAAATGCTTACAGAGGTTCAAGGTAGGTTGTTAAAATGATCATTTTGTCTTTTGTTATTTTGTCTTCCCCCAGCTTTTGGTGTGGTGTCAGGGCACACCTGAAGTGAGCAAAGCTAGATCTTCACCTGACACAAATAATATAATTCAGCTACAAGGAGTTGAAGTCACTCATAATTTAAACCAGTACAGATAAAAACGTCACATAGATTAGAAATTACAACTATTATAAAAGATAATGCTAACAAATAGTAATGATTTATGTAATATTACTCCAAAAAATTAATTTCCTGTGCCAAGTATGTAGATTATATGTAGGACTTGAATCTACCAGTGTAAACCAGATATTATAATAATCAGACATCATCAGGAAAAAAGCATTAGCAAATCCAGCAGAAAGATTTTTAACCTGACATGATCTAACTTTTCTTTAAGAAGTAGGTTCCTCTCTCCTCTCACCCTGCCAGCGGACTGTAGACTCAGAAATCTGTAAATTATGACTAGTTCATCATTTTATGTACAAACCCAGTGGCCATTTGCATACTGGATATTGTCTACCTGCAGTTAATTGCACTGCTGATGGCTGATGGTGACTGGCAGTGCTGCAGACTGCCAGACTCCTTTAGGCTGCTTTCAAATGTTCTCATCTTCCTGTAAAAAAACAGCCTCAGAAATGCCATTTGACACTGCAGCTGGCCTTGAGTTACCTACAGCAGGCTGTGCAATTTATAAATCACATGTGGAATGTGATTAAAAAAAAAAAAAAAGAAAAAAAAAAAAAAGAAGGAAAAGGTCAGATTTGGTTTGGATGTCCTCAGCTCTGGAGGCACAGTGAGCTACTGACCTCTAGTTGAGAAAAACAAGATAGCTATTAGCTCTGGTCCTGCTTCTAAAATATATTTTCTTCCTACGTGACAGCCTGCAGTGTAATTTATTTTGCTTCTTGATGGCAACAAGAAGTTGGAAGGCAAAAGTTTTCATATTTTTTCCAGGCATTTCAGTAAAACTATTTCAAACAAATGAGAAAGGCTCCATTTGCTTTTTTATTTTTTTTTTTTCTTTTTTCCTGCTAGTACCTTTTGTCTGCACTCATAGGAATTCAGCACAGAGGTGAAATGAAATGACTGGCCATTAAAATAGCAGAAGCCAAGCAGGAGGTGCAGGAGACACTGTTCTTGGAACAGTTTTACCATGTGAAATAGTGCAAAAACTGAACACCCTGTTTCCTTCTCCTCTAAATCACTGTTTTGTTAAGGATTGACCCAATTTACAGGCTGCACATGGGTGTGCAAGAGATGATATTTCATGTATTTATAAAAAATATATAAATGAAGTATAATGTATTGTATACAACATAATGCAAGAGACCAGTAATTTTCTCCTCTGGAAATGAACTTCAGAAAATTATGAGGAGGGGTAAGTGAACAGCCACAGGAATTCAGAATCTCCATAATTTTTTTTTGTCTGTGACTTTAAAAGTTTTTGTTTTTTTTTTTCCCTTTCATCCTGTCTTCCTTTCCCTGAAATGTTTTTGAGCCACCTTTCCCCTAAACTTTTTTGATGTTAAACAAGGTAGGATGAGTACAGGGTGGCTAAATCACCTGCAGGAGAAACAAGAAATCTAAGTGTTCTGTCCTTCATAGAATAAATCAAGGTGTTCAGTTATTAAATAGAACTAATGAGGGTAAAATATGAGTAATTTATGCTTGCTGCTGTTGATAGGTTTTGATATCTACCTTTTACTGCTCTTCTGTATCTCCTGAAAACAGATATAACATTTCATGGAATTTTCACTTTGCCATGAAAACTTCTTGGGTTATTTTTGTTTCTTCACCATTTCCTTGCATTTGGGAGAAAATCTCACCTTAAGATAAAGAAATTGCAGTGGATCCTGTTCAAAGGTGGTAATGTCAGACAGGACCAGTGGTGCTGTTCCTCTCCTGCTCCTCATGGATGAGGTACAACATTTCATTTTCTCCTCGTGATTTTATTTTTAATTTATGTTTCTGTCCCAGTGCACACAGACCAGAGTTTCTCTCCAAATCCCATGGGAGCACTGCACCCACACAGCTGGTAGTGAGTAGGGGATTTTGGTGTCAAAAAAGGTTTACTGGGTGACACTCCATTCTTCTGGCTGAAGAAATTTATGCATTCTCAGTCAAGAAATGGATGATGGAAACCGAGAAGAAATAGGCTGAGGTACTCCAACCAAAACAAAAAGAAAAAAAATGGAGATAAAATCATATTTTTTGTTTCTTCTGGGGACAGGGTGAGTGTATGGCAGCAAGGGGGATAATCCACCTTTCCACTTTAGAGGATATTTAAACACTGGAGCTGACTGTTTATAGAATTTTCATCACAATCTGTCTCTTGGAATGTATTAAATAATAATAATAATAATAATAATAATAATAATAATAATAATAATAATAATAATAATAATAATAGTAGTAATGGAGGATGGTACAGCCTTGTCAGAGGTGAAGGGCAGGTGAAAGAATTAAGCCTTAGCTCTGAAATTTATGTGTCTGCACCTACTCCAAGGTGATAGGAAGGGGCTTGGGGGTTCTTGAATCCCATTTTCTGCTGAGGGTGTAGGAGGAGGTCAAAAGGTGCATGTCCTGAAACCCTTTACAGTCCTACATCCTACAAAGTTTTGCCAAGTCCAGTGACTTCTGGAAAGTCAGACTCTGTCATCAAACTTTGAACTTTTCTAGATGTTTGTGATATAGATAAAAAACACCCCAAACCCCAGATATTTTAGTTTGATGCTTATGTATCAAAGGCTGAGGTCTAGATTCAAATCAAGTGAATTTATTTATTTTGAATAAATTTAGATTCAGAAATCCTGACTTCTAATTTCCAGTGAAGTGCATTTGATCTTGTTGTGCTTTTAAATTATCTTGACTTGTTGAAGAATCATAATAACATGCACAGTTTTATTCTCAGGTATGTTAATTAATACAGGTTGTGATATGTTTAAATGAGACAATGATTAAGAGTTTCCCATTGTTCCTAATGGAATATGTGTGTAGCAATTAACAGTCCATCTGATGAAGAAGGCAAAAACAATTTAATTACTTTAGCCAATGGTACAAACAAATGTAGACTGGAACAGTACTTTAAGTCAGAGTCCATTTTCTTTTAGATTTGCTGTGATTGTGTCATCACCAGGGACTCCAACCCATTTCTCCTTTACAATAAAATGAATGCAAGCACAAGTTTGGCTTAGAGAGGACATTTCTTTCACTTTTCCCTCCCTTTTTAAATGCCAGGGATTTAAAATAGGATGTGTAGAATGTACTGAAGCCACTACCTGTAATTAAATTGAATGTATTTGTGTACGCCTGCCAAAAGTGAGCTGTTTGTTTCCAATTTTTCTCTGACAACCAGTTACACCAAACACATCCATAATAAAAAAAAAAAAAAAGTAACTGCTGGCAGAACCCTCTGAGCCAGGTGGCTAAACCAATTGATTTTGTTTTCCCCATCTAAAATCCTTTAGGGGGAAAAAAGTCTCAGTTTTAGGTTAAAGCCACAGTGAGGTGACATTTGGGTTTCAGGAATTCACAGTTTCACATCTGAACAGCAGGATCTGACAATGTAGACACAAACACAGCCATGCAAATACTCAATACTGTAATTTAGGATATATTATACATAAATACTCAATACAGTAATTTAGGACACATTCCCCTAATCAATGACATTTAATCAATCAGTTAAAATCTGTGCAAGGTGGCAGATGGAGTTGTCCAGCCCCTCATCATTAGGTCTCCCTGTACTCACACAGAACATTCTGATGCACATCAAAACTTTCTCACTGTTCGAAAGAAAATTAATTTAATTGACTTACCTGAGGAATATGTCAGTTTATTTCCCGAAGAATTTTTACTTATGCTAAGAAATATAAGTGGAAATCTGAACATTTATCACCCCGAGCACCCAGATTTACTGAGATGTTATTAGATGCATCAGCCATCTGGTATTTCAATAAATTCATCTTCTGTTTCAATCAGACATAACCCTACTAAGACATTTAATAAATAATTCACATTTTGTCATCTTGGTTAACATTTCCCTAAGCGATGCATATGCTGTAATATTTTTCTTAACAGATGTTTTTATGAAATTCAGGTATTTTCAGTGTAAAAGTGCTATACTGTTTAAAGGGAAGGTAAATGAATATAATGAGAAAAGTTAAATGCTTCCAGGTAAATCAATCAACAAACCTGTACTTTCCCTATGCCTCTCATTAAACATTTGCAGAGGAAGTTGTGAAACTTTTTAAATGTTTCTTATTTTATAGCATAATAAAAATAATATTTTCAGTGGGTATTTGAAAACCTAGCCATTAATTTCCCAGAAAAAAAGCCCCAGAAAAACCCTGTCCAAAATGGCTGGATAACAGGGATGTGCTTCACAGGAAATCACTGAAAATAGTCCATACTTACAAAAAAATGCATTGAAACACCTTTTTTTTTTTAATATAAAAATACACTGATATTTATACACCTTCTGCTCTAGGCTTAAATGAATAAATACTTTTGAATAATAAAGAACTGTAAAGTTTTATGCATTTAACAGCACTAAATCAGGTGCACGTCACTAGTAGGTGTGATACCATTGTCATTATGTTTTGTGATTCCTTTATTCACTCTGACTCCACCTGTGGATCCCTGCATATGGAACCCAATGAAATAATCTGCAGACTCCCACCAGTGGTGTCATTACAACCAAAATACCGTTTTTTATCTTTGCTTTACCTTGTCCTTCTTCTGCTTTTCATCCTGGTATATTTTCCAGTGCTCCCCGTCGTTGCTGTAAGCAAGCTTGTAGGATCCCACAAACTGGACGTGGCCAAAATCTTTAGCTCCTTGGGTGATTATCCCAGTGATCTTCGTAGGGATGAGTAGGTCAATCTGAACAGAAGAGTTTAAAATTTAAAAAAAATATACACATGGACAACCAACCCACAAAAAAAACCCCAAAAAACCCCAAACAAACAAACAAAAAAGCTCCAAAACCAAACCAAAACAAAAAAACCAACAAGAAAACAAAAACCCCAAAATCAATTTAAAAAACCTATCAAACCTCTCCCCTCCCAAAATAAATAAATACATAAAAAATAAAACAGAGGAGAACATAATTAGAACACTTTCTATTTCCAGTCTGGTTTTGCAACACACCAAAGCAAAATGGTGCAGCTTTGTTCCTCTGCTGACACCATAGATAACAATTTGCTTGTCCAAGCTCTAAGTCAATCAATTTACCTTTATTTCCCAATTTTTTCTTTTTAAATTTATTTTTGATACCACCTAATGGCACAGCATGGAATAATCTCACACCTTTCTCCATTGTTCTGAATGTCATACATGGCCCCCCAAAAAACCCAGTTAATCTACAACTGGGAATGATCTGCAACTAAAAAGTGTTCCCACGTGCTGCTATAATCAGAATACATGGCTGATTGCCCAAGTGCCTTTCCATTTCCTTCATGAGCATGTGCTTTAGTAAATCTCTCAAAACATTTGCCATCATGCTTCTTTTCCTCCTGAAATTCCTTCTCACTTTACGCCTTCCTTTCTTTTTCTACCAAAAAAGCTCAAAGTTTCTTATTTCTTGAATTTTTTGTGGTTTTGAGTTCTTTATCTTATAATCTTTGCACAATGCTTTTTAAAAATGCAAGGCAGGAGTCTTAAATCCTAATAAAATTTGAGCTTTCAAGTGGTTTTCCACGTGAGTCAGTGCGTCTGTGATCAGTTCTTTTTGAACCAGAGCCCAACACTGAATGTAACAGATTTGGGCCAGATGCTTGGATTAAAATGATCAAGAAAGAGAATGCAATAACAGAAGTAAATTGACCTAATAATGTAATTTCAGAGGCAGAATGAAGGAGTAGAACTCTCTACCAAAACTGTTATTTTCTTGAAATTTGATAGTATAACTGAGATTTCATTCTGTGTCCTCCAGCAATGGAGCGAGCCAGTAGAGAAGAAAGAAAAAACAATGGATTTATTTCAAACAATAAATGGCTGTGAAGTCGGCTTTTTAAAATTTGTCCCTTAAATCAGGCAAGAGAGAGTAAAAATATTACAGTAAAGTGAGAGGAGTGCTGAACTCCACAAGCAGATGATTGACATGCTTTTACAGAAAAAAAAGAAATTAGAAAGTGAAGAAATAAAGAATCTCTGGCTGATCAGATGCTGAAGATCCAGTGCTGGATTTTTAGGAAGCTGGGGACCCCTCAGCAAACTCATGTTGGGCGGAATGTGGGACTGGGCAGAAGAATGGATGTGTGTGTGGAGCACAATAAATTAATCACGGGAAGAGAAACAGCAACAAACGAGCTTGAGAAGTCAGCTCCAGCTGATCCTGGACAGTGCCTTTGAAAGATGGACATTGGGGTTTGAATTTGTGTCCCAGGCCAGGCTGGACAGGGCTTGGAGCAACCTGGGACAGTGGAAGATGTCCCTGGCCATGGCAGGGATGGCACTGGATGGGATTTAAGGTCCCTTCCAACCCTTCAGACCATCCTGGGATTCTGTGGCAACGTAGAGAAGAAAAAACCAGAAAAGTTTATGTGCACATTTATAAGAACAGAAGAGGAAAGATTCACTGTTTAGAGCAACCAAACAAAGGAAGCCTGGAGATCCCAACATTGGAACAAATCGCAAGTAAGTGGTAAATCCTTTTAAGGAAAGGAATGACTTAAAATGTTCAATATTGAGATACCAAAACAATAAAGGGGAATTTCAGGGTCTGCAGATGGCTGAAGAATTTTGAGCTAATTTATTGCCATCATTTACTGCCAGTAGCAATGTTGGGGCACCCCAGGATATGAAGGAAGTGTCCCTGGGAGGAAAAACTGTGTTCTTTTTGTTCAATGGGGAGAGAGAGGGACTCAATCAGAGCAGGATCCTGCTTTGGAAGCTTTCATGGATGGCTTGAAGGGACTTTTTTCTTCTGTAAGGAATGCAGGAGAGCTGGGTTCCACAGCCTAAGTGGGCCCCTGGGAAATGAGCACCGCTAATTAGTATAAGTCTTTCATGAATTAATAAACACCAGGTCTCCAGACCTTGCTTCCAAATATTTTGGAGTCTAAATGAATAGTCTATTTTTCTAAACAGACTGATCTGGTAAGGAATCACTAATTGGTCCACACTTTCAGGCAGCTTTTGAACTAAACATTTCAGAGTCAACTTTAGAGTCTCTTTATAAATAATTTTGACATTAGCATTTTACAAGTGTAACCTTTTTTTAGCAGATAATGCTTCTTATACTAAAAGTCAATGTCTCTCCTGTTAGCCTGAAAAAAATGCCTCCACAAAACCATTTGTTTATTTTTAAAAATGTTGAAAGCGAGCTGAGAGGATTTCACAAATATTTAACATGGCCATGACACTCAGATACCCCTCATTGAAATTCAGAACAGGGAGGAAAAAAAATTCTCATTAAGATTCAGGGGATTCCAAAGGTAGAATCACAATAAATCTTTATTATCACATACATCCAGTTTTAATAAAAATATCCTGGTAATGATTGTTTTGTGCTTATAGGACATATCCAATGGCCTTGCACTCTTGGTACAGAAAATTATGTGGGAAGCTGGAAGATAATTTGCCATTTGCACAGATTTTTTTTCAATAAGAATTACATAGGACTGTGTCATATATGTGTGTGTGGGCTTGTTTTTTGAAAAAAAAAAAGAGAAAAAAGAATAAATAGACTCTCTTCTAAGTCATGACAATGCAGGCAACACATATTGCTGGAAATTAAGGAAAAGAATACAGGATATAACACTAGCATCTCCATCTCATATTTTAGCATCTTTTTTATTTATTTATTCATAAGCAGATGAGAAGTCTTCAGGCAGTAAAGATCATTATTTAAATTAAAGAAATACAGATTTTACTTTGTAGCCTCATTAGTTTCTACCTCGCTTTCCATTCTTTGTATTGAAACTACTTTAGAGCAGAAAGTTGAGGAGAATTTACACCACTTTCTAGGTAAAACATCTGCACTAAAATAGCTTAAATGAAAGCCATAACTTCCCATCAGGACGTGGAACACTTTTATTCAGTTAGTGCAGCTTGCAAGTAACAGGCAATCAAACAAATTACCAGGGAAAGAAGTTGAATTAACACACAACCAGTGTGTACCCTTCAAAGCTGAATGTGATTAACAGGATTAGAATGTGGTTCTGGCTTTTTCAGTGCAGCAGAATTTAGAAGGAGGCAGAGGCAATTAGTCTGCAACTGAGAGGATCATTAGTTGGCTACAAGAAGAACCATGGTCTACAGTTAATGTACATTTTTACAAGCAGCTGATCAAAAGACAGTTTAGCATCTTGTGTCTGCAAGAAGCCTCTTGGGCTGTAACTATTCCCTTTTCCCTTTTCCCACCTTGATTCAGATGTTACAGACAATTCAGGGTGGTTTGGAGGAGAATTAATTTAAGGAGAGCACAAAGATAAATACACCTGAGCGTGAAACATTCCTAAGGAAGTGCTGGTCTAGATGTGCAGCACGAGCTCGGTGTTGGTGTGCAGCTCATGGGATGATCACCAGAGGTTCATTGCAACCTCAGCCAATCTCTGGTTCTCCAACACATGGCAAAACCCAACCATGTGGCCCAAAATGCCAAAAACCGGGAGATAGACGCATTTATTCAGCATTCACACTGACAGACACCACAGGGGAGCAGGAGTGGATCTGCAACGCTGGCACCACAGAACAGGGTGTCTGCACAGCTGTGCTGCAGGGCTTCCACTTCCAGATGCCCTGGACCACCTTTTTCAGCACATCTTTTGGCTTAATTTAATCTGAAGGGAGCCCATGGTTTGTGAGGATAGCCCATCGTGTGAACCAGCGTGTGAAAAGTGAAGGTGTCTTTAAAAATAACACATTTCTCATCAACCTGGCAGTGTCAAAGGAGGAGAAAGAACCCTCAGGATCCAGGGAGTGCCAGGCTCTGTCTCACAGTGAAGATAATGGCGAAATGGCTCACTGTGACTTTTGGCTGTTCATCATTTCAGCAGTATTTAAAGTGTTCAGTTAAGTCCTGTCTTTATACAGACATTATGGTTCTGTTCCCAGTATAGCCAATCCTATGTTCAGCTTTTCTTGTCATTTTAGACATGCCATGATTTTCTTTTTTTTCTTTTATTTATCTTCATTATCCTGTAGATTCTGTTGTTTTGGTTTTTTGTTGTTTTTTTTTTTTAATCACTCATCAGATAACGCTGATGAATGCTGAGCAATCTCAATCCCCTTGGCAAATACAAAATCACTGGTTTCAGAAATAAAGAAACCTGTATCCAAAGAATATGACAACTGGAGGGGGGCACTGCTAAGGTGGGGAGAGTTCTTACCCTTAAGAGACTGAAAAAAGAAGGCCACAATTATCTCCAGCTGCTAATTCACCAAAGTGCAACCTGCCTGTTGAATATCCTGATATCACAGAGAAGCCTCAGATTATTTTGGGATGCTTAATATAATGGCTGGAACTCATGGTTGGACACCAAACCCCACCAAGAGAGACCAATGTGCTTTTCAAGTAAATAAATGAAGAGTAAATAACCTGTCCTGAGCAGGTTATTTACTCTTCATTTTACATCTAATGATTGCCTTGATTTTTCCAGGGTCAGCTGGCACAGTCAGAGGTGTTACATCCACCCTAAGAAAAGGAGGGACAGGATTGTAGTGTCCACAGCAAAAAGGCAGAAATGCAGCTCTCCTCTCCTTATTGCATCAGATGAAGGTGCTTTGCACTCTCCTCCATGCCCAAAATCTGGATGAAAAGGAAAATTAGTGCTGGTACAGTGTGCTTGCTGCAGATGTGCAACATCTGTATGTTTCTAAAAACATTTCACCAGCCACTCTGTTTTGTAAACTGAAACTCAGCATTTCAGGCTTTTTTT